ACATATAACATATAACATATAATATAACCGCTAAAATACCTATTTCAGCTCCGTCTCCTCCTCCTCGTCCTGGCCAAGATATATATGGTTCGACCCAGTGCGACTTCTCCACATGTTCCGTAGCATCACCCACTTGCGGCCCAAGGCACACGAAAAGAACATGCGGCGCCCTGGGCCAGAACGCCTTGGCCTGAGCATTTTGCCGCAACTGTATCTTGCTCCGACCTCTCTCTCGAAGCCTAATCTAAGCCCAGAAACTCAGGGCTGGGGAGCCTAGGAGCTCCAGCTTGGCTCGCCGTCTGGGCTTTGGAAAAGACGAGATGCAAAGGTGAGAAGCACCTTCTGGCACCTGGTCAGCTCTGCCAGGCCTCAAAGAGGAGGGATCCGGGAGAGGATTTCTCTTGAGCGCATGGAGACCTGCACATCCTGCCCGCTGCTTGCTGAGAGGTCAGATGCCAGTAGTCTCAGAACCCAAAGCCCAAAACGGGCCCAAACCCTTCCCAACCTCTGTCTGCGAAACCTGCCAAGGCAAAGTTGGACAAATGCGCCTCGACCAAGGAGGCATGCGCATAGCAGGTTGGTTCCGCAATCAAGCTCCAATCGGCCATTGCCATGGGTTTTGAAACAGCACAAAGCTCTCGAGCACTGAGCATGCGAACTTGCCGGCTAATGGAAAGCATGTCTCCCGAGCGCGCAACATGCCTCGATATCACAAGCCAGGTACTCGTAGCCAGCATGGAGCAGGTCTCGTGGAGTCTTGCAGCTGTTCTCCTCCAACGCTTTGACTCTTGTGCGAGGGGCGGCTTCATACCCCGTGCTGCGCAATGGCCCGTGACTAGCGAATCGCCTCCCTCCTGTCGTCCTGGCAGAGCTGCGTAACACATCGTGGGCTCACGGCCGCAAAGCGCGCCCGCGGGTGGCGCCAGAAGAGAGGTGCCTCATTCTCATTGCTTTTTCTCGTCGATGCTTGGGATAGCGTTGCGTCGCACCGTCCTACCACTGAAACGGGGGCTTAAACGTTGGAATCTTCAACATCCAGGGTGGCAGCAGCAAACTCATACGCAGAACGGACCAATCTCCAAGCTTTCTGACTCTGACTAGTTCGAAACCACAGGCAGCAGGCCTGGTTCAGCAGACGATCTAAAGAACTTATCAAATCTCACAGAGCACCTCCTCAAGGTGTTCATGCAGTCACCTGGGACCCACTCTCATGCAGTCTCTTTGCAAGTTGGGTGCGGTGGCCTGCCGCTTCCTAAGCCGGGTCAACAACCCTGAAAGCTCCGAATCATCTGTGGAAATGCCCAGGGACTGCATCTGGTCGCTGTCCGGCAAGCAGGTCGCAGATCTGGGGCATGTCCAGGCATCCTCGCATTTTCAGTGCGACCAACTGTGAGACTTCGCTTCTCGATCCAGCTTTTGGGGTCAGACTCCCCAGCAAAAGCTGCGCGCTCAGAGCACGGCTCGGTCCTTCCAGCACCACCCGCGAGCTCCTCGAGAGACAGATGAAGGCCCGGCTCCCCAGCAGCTTGTCTGTAATGCTGCATGCCTGAGAAGTCTTCCGGTTGGCCGGTTTGGCGGAGGATTATGGCATTTGGGTCGTGTGAAGTGCCTGGCATGCAGATTTCTATTCTTGCAACAGCAACAGTTCGCTTGGCGCTGAAGGCTGCCTGACACTAATCTAGGGGCCTGAATAATTACCAATACTATTTTAGGTGCTCCTCATTATAGTTATAGTCTTAGTATTATGGGCCCCAAAACCCTATTCAAACTATTGAGGCCCCTAAACCCTAAACCCTTATAGTA